GGGGGCGCAGCCTCAGGTCCCCTGGCCCTGTGCTGGGGCAGGGTGTGCAGCCTGAGGTCCCCCAGTCTAGTGCCTGGGTGGGGGGCACGGCCTGAGGTCCCCTAGCCCAGCACCAGGACGGGAAGTGCACCTTGAGGTCCCTGTCAAGCCCTGCCGGGTGGGGGGCATGGCCTAAGGTCCCCCGGCCTCGTGCCAAGGCAGGAGGCTCGGCCTGAGGTTCCCCAGACTGATGCCAGGGCAAGAGGCATGGCCTGAGGTCTCCTGTCAAACCCTGCCAAGTGGGGGGTGTAGCCTGAGGTCCCCTGTCAAGCCCTACAGAGGCAGGAGAGGGTGTAGCCTCAGGTCCCTGCTGATTGCTCATTAAGGCTCCTTAAGGGAGCTTGGCCTCATCTATGGGTGCAGCCATCTTTGTGACAGAGTGACGGTCAATTAGCATAGTCCCTCTTTATTAGATAGGATAAAGTGTCTTTAAAAAGAAACACACACAAAACAATGTATTGTTAGGTGTATTGGTGATGTATTGCTCAACTGTCAAAACTGTGACTCTTCTAGGGACAATGATTCAGTACTCGGGTAATGCTAATTTAGTTCTCACAGTAATTCTATAAAGTATAACTACTAAAAATAACAAGAATCAATTGTATAGCCAGAATCTGAGCACTTCTAATCACGTCTGCTACTGCCACGCAGTCCAAAGTAGCATAAACCAGGGCCTGGATTACTCCAATAGCCTGGAAGCAACTGGTCTTCTACGTCCATCTTTCCCCCAATCTCAGACTCTTATTTTCAACAGGCTACCAGAATTCTCCTGTAAAAATCTAAGTTAGTTCATGTCATTCCTCTGCTCAAAACCCACCAATGGCTTCCCATCTTACTCATGGTAAAGGGTTTTAAAGAACTACCAAATCCTTCATAATCTGTGTCTCCCTTGCCAACACCATCTTTCTTCCTCCGATTCTCAAACCTTCATGCCTGGCCCTTATCAATCCTTCAGATCTAGCTACACAAATGACTATACTACTTCTCAGATATGCTGGACATGATCCCATTTCAATTACTTTGCTCTGTCTATCCCCTCTGTCGTGGATTAATCTCTGCCCATAAAACCACATGATTCACTCCCTCACCTCCTCTCTTTATTTAAAGGTCTCTTTCTCCATGACAACTAATCTGATCAACCTCCAAACACCCTATCTACCTATAGTGTTTTCTCCATTGTAATTATTACTATGTAATATACTCTGTTTCACTTTTTTTTTTAATTAATTAGCTATCTTCTGCTCTAAAATGTAAGCCTTACAGAGGCAGGGATTTTTGGGAAATTTTGCTATCTGCAATATTCCTAATATAAATAACAGTGCCTGGCACAAAACCAGAAAATGTATGAATTGGTATAGTTATTATTTTAAAAATAAATTTAAACAAATAAAATTCTTAAAAAGTTAAAAGTTATAGAAAGATTACAATTTTACCTTCTGCATCAGTTCTAATAATCAAGTCCAAAACTAATATTGTTAAGGAGATCACCTATAAAATATAGAGGAAAATCAGCAAAAATATTTAACTTCTCTTAGCCTCTTTGTATGTGAAACTTAGCTTTATTTAATAAAACTAAGCAAAAAGAACACAAAGAAAGTAATTATGCTTTTATTTTATTTTTTGGAAGTTACCTCCAGAATATAAGTAAATCATGGAGCATATTCCATCCCACATAATATTTCAGTATCTAATAAGAACATTATAACTGTCACTTCAATTTCTCTAGCTTTAACCATATGCAAATTTAGATTAGTAACTAAAAATGCTATTACTCTTTATAACCTTGTAGAGTTCCTATCATATTAAGCTCCACGCAGGAATAAGCATTCATGCCTTAAGTTAGCTGCTAATATATCAGGTACTAATAAGTAGGTCCAAAAAAAAAGAAAGAAAAACCTCTCACTTTCAGGTCACTTTCAATAGAATTGATAATCAGCAAACTTAGCTTAAACTCTCTGTTGGTCTTTAGCAAGTCCTGTATCCAAATGTATTTCTTTTCTATATTGAATTGAGAGGTAAATTTGAATTTCAGAATATTTTTCTAAAGAACCTTCATTCATCATCCATACGTAATTTTGATTTTTTTAAATCTCGAAGATTTAGAGATTATTGAATAAGAAGGCCAGTTACCATTATTAGTGGACTCAAAATGAGAAAATCAACTAAAATAGATTTCTAAAGTTTTATTCATTTTTTTAAAATTTGAATTTATTTAAACACAAATTAACCATCTGCTGAGATATGAGCTAATTTCAAACTTGTTTTCATAATTAAAGTACTCTAAAGAGACAACTCAATGGATCTAATCAATTTTAATTGGCTATAAAATATCATAGAACAATTCATAATGAAGAGACAATTTAAGAAAATCTACTGCCAATTACAGAAAACTTTACTTTTTTATTTTTTTGAATGAGATGTAACAACTAATTCACCACAATCTAGCTATAGGTGCCCTCTTACTCGGTCTGCATTGCGTAGTGAGAGCATGTAAATAATCAGGGAATTTACCAATCCCTTAGCACTCTTTTGTATTTCTCACACAGAAAGAAGAATTTGAAAGAAAGATTGTTTCCCACTCTTGTCATAAAATTGTGTGAGGAGAGCTCCCTTCAGATTTCTCCAGATTGGCTCGTATGAGCATGTGTCTTGTGGAGTGGCTCATCCTGTCTTGTTTTTTTCCTGAACAAAATGTGTGATAAAACAGAAGCATACAGACTTCTACCCATGTAAGAGAAACTCCTACAAATGCTATTATCTATTTTGAAGGTTGGTAAATATAAAACACTAGGGTAATTCTATCCATATAAAATCAATTAAATATGTCACATCAGAATACATAAATATGAGGTAGTTATTTTGAACATCTTTTCTAGTACTTCAGTATATCTTTAAGTAAACTAGAAAATAAGATTAGTAAATTTACAGACATAGCCATAGAAACTAACCAAAACAAAACAGAAGAGAAGAAAGACAAGGGGAAAAAATGATCAGAGCATCAGTAGGCTGTGAGACAGTTACAAGCAGCTTAATACACAAGTACCTATAAAATCTCTGAAGGACAGCAGAAAGAGAAGTGACAGTAAATATATGTGAATATATAATGGATAAAAGTTGTCCACACTTGCTCTACCCGGTTTGGCTTAGTGGATAGAGCATCGGATGGTGGACTGAAAGGTCCCAGGTTTAATTCCAGTCAAGGGCATGTACCTTGGTTGTGGGAACATCCCCAAAAGGAGGTGTGCAAAAGGCAGCTGATCAATGTTTCACTCTCATCGATGTTTCTAACTCTCTATCTCTCTTACCTTCCTCTCTGTAAAAAACCAATAAAATGTATTTTTTTAAAAAAGTTTTCCACACTCATTAAAACTATAAACTCTCAGGTATATACAAGAAGCTCAGAAACCACAAACACAAGTTAAAAAGAAAAAAACACATCATGTCCAAATTACTCAAAGCCAATGATGAAAAGCAAATCCTAAAAGCTGTCAAAGGAAAACAAATTTGTGAAGATAAGATAGATAACACTGCAAAGAATAATACGAGGGATAATAAAAGTCATTCATAATGATTAGATAGTCATTAAGAGAATGTAACAAACTTGACTGGTTATATAGCTAACAACAGAGTCTCAAAATACATGAAGCAAGAAACTGAGAGAACTGTAAAAAGAAAGAGAAATCCACAATAACATTAGGAGATTACAATTGCCCCCTCTCAATAATTGATAGAACAAGTAGACAGAAAATCAGTAAAAACATTAAATATTTAAATAACTATATTAACCAACTGTACCAAGCTGTCAAATAAATCACTCCAACCAATTATAGAACACATAGTCTTACCAAATATAGATGAAGAATCAAGATGTGCCATACTATGGAATATATATCACGTACATAAATATAAAGAAATAGTCATAAAAAGAATATTTTCAGACCAAAATGGAATTAAATTATAAATAAAAAAATAGAACATCTCAAGAAAAATGCCATAACTTTAGAAAATTAAAAAACTCAATTATAAATAACCTATAGATCAAAAAATAACACAAGGAAATAAAAAAGTATTTTGAACTGAATGAATATGAAGACATGATTGTATATAAAAAGGATATAATGTTGCAAAAGAGTACTTAGGAATATTCATAGTACTAAATGCCTGCATTAGGAAAGAAAATAAGATATTTCTCAAATCAATGATCTTAGCTTCCACATCAAGAAAATAGAATAATTGGTACAGACTAAGCCTAAACAACGCAGAAGGAAATAATAAAGACTAAAGCATAAGGCTATTAAATAGAAAGCGAAGAAATAGGGGGAGGGGAGCAATAAGTGTTGATGAGGAAGTGTATTATATGATCTTGTAATTTTAAAGGCTTTTAAGTACATGGTAAAAAGGGGATTGAAAAGATTTCTAAGCAAATACAACCTTGTTTTTCTTATTCAGTGCTCATTAATTAACTAAGTCTGATGTTAGAGATCAATTTAAACACTTTGCATTCTATTACACAAATGCTACATAATTTCATTTAGTATACACTATTCAAAAATATTGTGCATCATTTTTTTATAAAGGAAGAATTATTACATAATTTCACAATCAGTCTATTTTGGTATTTTTTAACATATATTTTTATTGATTTCAGAGAGGAAGGAAGAGGGAGAGATAGAAACATCAATGGTGAGAGAGAATCACTGATCGGCTGCCTCCTGCATGCCCCACACTGGGAGTCAAGTCCGCAACCTGGACATGAGCCCTGGCTGGGAATTGAACCACAACCTCCTGGTTCTTAGATTGATGCTCAACCACTGAGCCACGGCCAGCGAAGCATATTTCGCTATTTTTTTTTTAATGTAAATTGGTCTAAGTGGAATCATTCCACTATTTATAAAGATAACACTCAAATGATAATAAAAAGCACTAAAATTAACATTTTTTTTTTCATAATTTTGCCATACCTTTAGCTAAAGCTTCTTTATATTTCTCTTTGGCATAATTCATTTCTTTTATTAATTGTCTATAGCTGGATTTTAATTTCTCTAATTCCGTCTTTGTAACCTGTCAAAAAAAGAAATTTTAAAAAAATTAAAACATAAATTTACATGATCAAGAACTTAAATTCACAATGGTGCACCTTACTGCTTATAGGTCAGAGTTGCTCTTTAATACACAATTACAGGCAATAAATTAAAAATTAGTGGGGGGGAGTCAATCAGGGAAAAAGGAGACATGTAATACAATTTTTAAAAATTACTGTAGCCCTGGCCCTGGACGGATGGCTCGGTAGGTTGGAGAATCATCCTTTACACCAAAAGATTACAGGTTCGACTCCCAGCCAGAGCACATAGGGCACACATCTAGGTTTCAGATTCTATGTCAACTGATGGATGTTTCTCTCTCACATCTCTCTCTCTCTCAAGTCAATTTTTAAAAATATCCTCAAGTGAGGATAAAAAATAAATTCTTTAGCTCTGGCCAAGTGACTCAGTTGGTTGGAGTGTCATCCTGTATACCAAAAGGCTGAAGGTTCAATTCCTTGTCAGGGTATATATCTAGGTTGCAGGTTCAATCCCCGGGCATGGTGTATACAGGAAGCAACCAAAACATGTTTCTCTCTCACAAAGATGTTTCTCACCCTTTCTCTCCCTCTCCCTCTCTTTCTCTAAAAAAAATCAATAAAATAAAAAAATAAAATCCTCAGGTGAGGATTAAAAGAAAAAAATTACTTTAGAAATCAGTGATAAATTCAACAGCACATAAAAAAAACTTTCTTAAAAAGCGAGCAAATCAGAAACAGTGCTGCAGTCATCTAAAATTTAAAAACCAATAAATTAATATTCTGTGTATAGAAATATTTTCTCTTATATAAAAGCTAATTTAAATATATATTTTAATTGTACAGAGTCACTCTGAGTTGCCAAAATTCGTCAGTTCTATCATGATTTTTTTTGTTAACATGGTTTATTTTTTTATTTCTTTATTAATGAAAAAATTTTTGATATTGTAACATCTCTAAAAAGAAAGTGCACCTAACAATCACTGTTAGCCAAGCAACAATCATAAATAGTAACTACATGCATGCAAGAACTTGATTATTATTTCCACAGAAGAACTAGACAAATGCAGGTTCTTGACTCTTGTCAAAAAGGCATTTAAATAGCAATTGAGAGAAAAATTAAGAATCTTAGATGTTGTTTGAAAAACTTATGGTGCAGCTTCCGAGAAGCCTAAGAAATCAGCAGTATGAAAAACTTGCCAAGCGGGCATAAGAAAACAATCTCAGAGCCCACTTCTAATATTACATCACCATCATATTTAATATGACAAAGAATGACATTGTGCAAATAAATAAAAATATTAATAACTATAATATAGATAGAAATTAGTTCAAATCATTTCCTTTTAAAAAATTTCACTGGTTGACATCTTTTTGTGAACTTTATTTTTTTATACCAGTTTCACTTTCACAACAAAATTGAGCATAAAGGACAAAGATTTCCCATATACCTCCCACCCACCTCCCACACACACACGCACACATTTGCCTCCCCCTTAGCAACAAAGCCCCAAAAGAGCATTTGTTACAAGTGATGAATCTAAAATAAAAAGTATTATCACCCAAGTCCATAATTTACATTAGGTTTCACTCTTGGTGTTGTACATAGAATGACATGTATCTACCATTATAGCATCAGACAAAGTAGTTCACTGTCTAAATCTTCTGTGCTCCACGTGTTCATTCCTCCCTCTCCTCTAACCCCTGGAAACCACTTTTTTTTTTTCCAATCACAGCTTACAGTCAATATTACTTTGAATTAATTTTAGGTGTACAGCATAGTGGTTAGACAATCATATATATTTCAATATTTCAAGTGCCCTCTTGGCAGTACTACTGATCTTTTTATTATAATCATAGTTTTTCTTTTCCCAGAATATCATACAGTATTATAATCAGACAACACATAGCCTTTTTCAGACTGTATTCTTTTACTTAGTCATATGCATTTAAGGTTCCTCAATGTCTTTCTATGGCTTTCTAGCTCCTTTCTTTTGAATGTTGGATAATATTTCATTGTCTAGATGTGCCACAGTTTGTTCATCCATTCACCCAATAAAAGACATTTTGATTGCTCCTAAGTTTTGGTATTATCAATAAACCTACTGTAAACACCCGTGTGTGTGTGTGTGTGTGTGTGTGTGTGTGTGTGTGTGCGGGGGACGGGGGGGGGGGGTTCACTTTCACAGCAAAGTTTTCAACTCCTTTGAACAAATGCCAAGGAGTGTGATTGCTGGGTCCTCTGGCAAGAGTATATTTAGTTTTATTAGAAAATGCCAATCTTCCAAAGTGGCTGTGCCCCTCTGTATCCCCACCAACAATGAATGAGAGTTCCTACCGCTCCCAGTCTTCACCAACATTTGGTGTTGTTAGGGTTGAGTGTGGTCATTCTCATAGGTATGCAGTGGTATTTCATTCTTGCTTCAATTGCATTTCCCTGATGACATGATGGGCAGCACCTTTTCATGTGCTTACTTGCCACCTGTGTAGCTTTTGGCCCAATTCTTAATCTGTTAAGGTTTTGGCCCATTTTTTAATCAGGCTGTTTGTTTTCTTAGTAGACTTTTAAGAGTTCTCTGTATATGTTAGATGACAGTCCTTTATCATATGTGTCTTTCACAAATATTTTCTCCTAGTATGGCTTACCTTTTCATTCTCTTGGCACTGTCTTTCACAAAGCACAAGTTTTTAATTTTGATTAAGTTGAGCTTAACAATTATTTATTTAATGGATTATGCTTTTAGTGTTGTACTTAAAAAGTTATCACCATATTAAGGTTATCTAGGTTTTTTCCTATGTTATCCTTTAGTCATTTTATAATTTTATGTTTTACATTTAGGACTTTGATCCATTTTAGTTAATTTTCATAAAGGGCATAAGGATGGATGTCCAATTATTCCAGCAACATTAATTTAAAATATCTTTTTTTCTGCTGTGTTCACTTTGTCACTCTGTCAATGATCTTTTGCCTGTATTTATGTGGATCTATTTCAGAGCTCTCTATTCTATTCCATTGATGTATTTATCTTTTATCTTATGTAAAATCCAAGCTATCTTGATTACTGTGTCTTTAGAGTAAGTCTTGAAGTTAGGTAAAAGTCCTCGGACTTTGTTCTTCTCCTTCAGAAATCTATGGACTCCTCTTGGTCTTTTGCCTGTTTATATAAACTTAAGGTTCAGTTTTTTAATATCCACAAAATAACTTGCTGGGATTTTTATTGGGGTCATGTTAAACCTATAGAGCAAGTTGAAAATAACTGGCATCTTGATCATACTGAGTCTTCCCAGCCACTGGATATCTCTCAAATTATTTCTTCTTTGATTCTCTCATTAGAGTTCTGTCGTTTTGATCCTACAGGTCCTGTACATACTTTGCTAGATTAATACCTAAATATTTCATTTGGGAGGATGTTAATGTATATGTTTTGTTGTTCATTGCCTCTTATCTTGTTCATTTTTTTTTGTATGTTAACATTGTACCCTGCAACCTTGCTATAATACTTAGTTCTAAGAGTTTCTTTGCTGATTCTCTTTAATTTCCTACATAGACAATCGTGTCATCTATATTTAGGTTTATATAAAGGCAGCTATATTTCTTTGTTCCCAATCTGTATACCTTTTATTTCTTTTTCTTGTCTTACTGCATTAGCTATGACTTCCAATATAATATTAAGAAACAGTGGTAAGAAGGAACATTCTTGCCTTGTTCCTGATCTTAATGAAAAAGCTTTGATTTTGTCACCATTAAGTATGATGTTAGCTGTAGGATTTTTATAGATATTCTTTATCAAGGCAACTGAGAGTTTTTATCATGAATGAGTGCTAAATTTTGTCAAATGCTGTTTCTACATCTATTCATATAATCACCTGATTTTTTTTATTAATGGCTATGTGATGGTTTCCAGTCATTGATTTTCTAATGTTGAACCAGCCACATACCTGAAATACACACCAATTGGTCACGGTGTATAATTCTTATGATACATTGTTGTATTTATTTCCTAATAATTAATAACTTTTGTGTTTATGCTCATGAGAGATGTGAATCTGTAGTTTTCTTTTCTTCTAATATCGTGTCTAGTTTTGGCATTAGGGTAAAGCTGGCCAAATAGAATGAATTAAGAAGTCTCTCTCTTTACATCTTCTCAAAGAGTTTGTAAAGAATTGGTAGGATTTCTTGCTTAAAAATTTGATAGAATTCACCAGTGAACCCATCTGAGCATACTTTCTGTTTTGGAAGGTTATTAATTAATGATTCAATTACTTTAATAGATATTTGCCTATTCAGATTATCTATTTATTCTCATTTTAGTTTTAGTAGATTGTGTTCTTCAAGGAATGGGCTCATTTCTCTACATTATCAAATTTATAGGCACTGAAGGTTCATAGTATTCCTTCATAAGCCTTTAATATCCAAGGGATAAGTAGTGATATACCTCTTTCACTTCTGAAATTAGTAATCTTTACTGTCCTGTGTTTTTGTTAATTAGCCTAGCTAGAGGTTTAGAAATTATATTGATCTTTTCAACAAACCAGTCATTTTGTTGTTTTCTCTACTGATTTCCTGTTTTCACTTTCATGGATTTCTGCTCTAATTTTTATTATTTATTTTCTTCTAATTACTCTGGATTCAATTTCCTCTTCTTTTTCTTCTGTCCTATGGTAAAAGATTAGATTATTGCTCTTAGATCTTTCTTCTTTTCTAATATTTGCTTACATTTCTACATATTTTTCTCTGTCTCTTCCAACTTTTTTTTTTCCCTTTTGGTAGTCCTTACCATTTTTTCTTGGTTGACAAGCATGATGTTTTGGAGAAAAGGAACTGATGTAAATAAGAGCTTTACTAATGTGGTGACAAAGTTGTCAGGGAGGGAAATTATTTTATAGTCCCATGACTAGGTCTCAGATTTTTACTAAGCCTGTGCCCCTGGACTGTGAACATTACATGTGTTTTTCAGTCTCCAACCCCCCTTTCATGAAACATGATGGCTAGAGTGGGCCAAAGTTGCATATTTCCCTTCCCCCAGTTTATTAAGCTCTGGTTAAACAGTTTCTCGTAAAGGCAGATCTTGTTAAGAAGACCAGAATACTCTGGCATGTGGCAAAATGGTTTCTTTTCTCCTTCCCCAACTAGGACAATGAGATTTTTCTCCAGTGTTCACTGTGAGAATCTGGTAGAGATCCAGGAGGTAAAACTCAAAGAAAATATGGGGGCTACTGAACAACTGGGTCCTCCTGAAGTTTTTAATTGTTACAGTTGTCCTCACTGAAACTCCAGGACTCGTCAATTACCATTCAGGTTTTTCTGCACCCAGCACTGGTTCCCAAGGAGGCTCTGATAGGTTGTGTCACTATATTGGCTTGTCAGTCTCTCTAATTTTGGCAGCAGCTGTTGGCCCTGTGACTTCACTTCTCTTATACACCTAAGAAGAGTTGTTCATTTTTTAAATTTTTCAACCTTTACTTATTGTTTGAATGAACCTCCAAAGTTCTTATGTGCTTGATTAGAAAAACTGGAAGCCTTAACTTTTGAAGTTGTAAAGAACCAATTCATTATTTTGCAAACTGGCAAATTAATAGCAAAAAGCAAGCATTTATCCTGCCTTCCCTTTTTAAATTATGCCTCGCGGTAACCAATAGTTGATCTAGGGAAAGTCTTAATTGAAAAATTCCAGCTAACATTACATCGGGAATTATAGAAGAAAAAGCCTGCCATTATGCAAACCCCACTGAAGTAATACATTAATCACTGAACATAAATTGTTTCTAAAACTATTAGATGAAAAGCAGAAGGGAAACTTTATTAACAGATTAATCAGGCTGGCAAAACTGGAACCTGTTAGTCTTATTTAAAAACACAAAATGGTGCTCGCTTCGGCAGCACATATACTAAAATTGGAACGATACAGAGAAGATTAGCATGGCCCCTGTGCAAGGATGACACGCAAATTCGTGAAGCGTTCCATATTTAAAAAATAAAAAATAAAAAATAAAAAAATAAAAACACAAAATGATAAATAAGCAGACACAGAAGTTATATACCTCTGAAATAAAACAAGAGAAAGTCTATACCAGCACCTCTGATGTGTACTTGTCCAAAATAAACAGCAAAAATCTTATCAAATCTCTAGATCTAACTTCCAGTTGATAGGAAAATTGGCAGATGAAGGAAAGCGTGAAATCACATCACAAGATACTAACAACAAAATCCAATATAAAGTTAATTCAATTCTATAGGGCAAAATTACCCAGTTTCTCCCACAAATAAATGGCATTTTAAAGAGGGGGGAGGACAACCTACATTAAAGAGAATTAATCAAATGTAATGTATGGGCATATTTGGATCCTAATTTAAATGAACCAACCACAAAAAGCATTTAAACAACAATAATTTGAACACAGGATATTTAATAACATTAGGAATTATTGTTCAATTTTTAAGTAGGTTAGTAATATTGTAATATAATTGTGTCTTATAAAAAAGAGTATGCATTTTAGCAATATATCCTAAAATATTTATAAATAAAATGATATCTGGAATTTTCCTTAAAATGATCCAAAATAGAAGGAAAAGTAGGTGAGAATATAGATGAAAAAGAAATTTACTATGTGGGTGAAAGGGTGGATAGGAGTTCATTTTACTATTCTCTCCTCCTTTGTACATTTGGAAATTTTCATAATTAAAACACTGTAAAATTTATCCAGAAAGGACACACTCTGAATGTAGAGAAATTTAGAAAATCCTAATCTATTTTAATTTTCTTTTATGATTAGTACTACGATACAATTTTTTTAAAGCTTAAAAGAGCTGCCGAAACCGGTTTGGCTCAGTGGATAGAGCGTCAGTCTGCGGACTGAAAGGTTCCATGTTCGATTCCGGTCAAGGGCATGTACATTGGTTGTGGGCACATCCCCACTAGGGGTGTGCAGGAGGCAGCTGGTCGATGTTTCTCTCTCATCGACATTTCTAGCTCTCTATCCCTCTCCCTTCCTCTCTGTAAAAAAATCAATAAAATATATATTTTTTTAAAAAGAAACAAACATGTTAAAGCTTAGAAGAGCTATTTCAATAAATAAAAAATAAAAGTTCTATGTGATAAAAAAAAAGCATTATATCATAGTTTAATTGGTGGTATTTTTTCTTTTATAAGAATACATAAAGTAACAGTATCCTATATAATCAAGAGGTAATATGCAAATTGACCCTCATGCCCTTACACAAGATGGCCACCTCCATGTGGTCAAAGATGGCCACCACATGATGGCTGGCAGGGGAGGGCAGTTAAGGGCAATCTGGCTGGTAGGGGAGGGCAGTTGGGGGTAATCAGGCCTGCAGGGGAGGGAAGCTGGGGAGGACCAGGCCTGCAAGGGAGGGCAGTTGGAGGCGACCAAGCCAGCAGGGGAGGAAAGTTAGGGGTGACTAGGCCAGCAGGGGAGGGCAGTTGGGGGTGACCGGGCCAGCAGGGGAGGGAAGTTGGGGGTGAGCAGGGAAGCAGGGGAGGGAAGTTAGGGGCAACCAGACAGTTGGGGCCAATCAGGCTGGCAGAAGAACAATTAGGTGTCAATCAGGCCGGCAGGGGAGTGGCTAGGGGGTGATCAGAATGGCAGGCAGGCAAGCGGGTGGGAGCCAACAGTCCCAGATTGAGAGGGACACCCCCACACACACCCAGTGTATGAATTTCATGCACCGGGCCTCTAGTATCTTATAATCAATAATGTCTTACATTCAATAAAAATAAGATGTTATTTAATATAGACACCAAAACTTATTTCTAGTCAGGAAATATAAAGAAAAACAATTTTAAAAGTCAAACAGGATAAAATATTTCAGTGCATTTAAAAGCCATTAAAGAAAATATAAAGACAAACCTTGATCATTTCTGCCTCTATCTGCTGATGAACAGCTATATAACTTTTTTTCACCTGCTGCTTGTCTTTGATCATCATGGTGAGCCTGTGTAAGGGTCCAGAATTTAGGTCCTCTGCATGTGTCTTCATTATCCTACTAAGTTGTTCTGTTTGCTGAATCATAAGTAGCCAAGACTTTTAAAAACATAAAGAAATAAAATTAGGATGTATTAAAAGTTTGCATTTAGCTGTGCTTTAATTGTCCAAGAAGCTTAAACATTTAGTGTTACACAAATGATTACAGTAAGATAAAAATAGATTTCTATCAATTGTGCATTAAGCTATGAATAGTTCATATTTAACATATTCAACTTCAAATCCTAATGCTTCAACTGTAAGTAATCAGAGACTATGCAGAATACTAGGAAAGGGACTAAAGGGACTCAGAGAGTTCACACTTGCATTCTTCTGTTTGTTTTTCTTTTCTTTTTCTTTCTTCCTTTTCTTTTTTAATCTCCACACCATCAATTTTTAGAGAATGGAAATGAGAGGGAAAGACAGAGAGAAATATCAATGTGAAAGAAACACCTCAACTGGTTCCAGCCTGGGGAGATGCCTGTAACCAAAGTACACACACTTGACTGGAATCAAACCCAGTGCCCTTCAGTCCATAGGCCTAAGCTCTATCCAATGAGCCAAACCAGCTAGGGCTTCTGTTTGTTTTCAACACAATGATATATTGTTTCTGCTCACACCATTCTAATTCCTCAAAAAGGTCACTATTTCCTGATGCAACAGAATTTTCCAGTCTTTATTCAAAACCTGTCTCTGTCTGGCATCAGATCTTGCTGACTCTTCTATTTTGGCTTGTATGAGTTCTTATCTTCCCACATACAAACTTGCTTCCTCCCTTCCAAAAGATGCTTTCCCAGTCTTTCTACCTGACCATCTTTGCTGCTTATGTCTTAAATACAGACAATCTCTGGATTTCTAGCTATAGTCATTCTCTGTTGTTAATAGATATCATCAATCCTCAATGGTTTCCAGCACAGCATATTGCCTCAAGAGCAGAGACACAAAATGGTGGAAAGGATAAGTCATTTGTTATTAGACTTTCTAATTTATAAATACTGAAAAAAGTAACAGAGGAATGCTCTTCATTATATGTCTCCTATTCAGAAACAATAATTAGAGATTTACCACAGAGAGAATCCCTGTTAAAGATGGACAAGATATGCTTTTAGATATTTACAGTTGTTTTCTACTCTAATGTTTTTAATCTGTAAATGAACAGATTTATTTTTTTATGTTAATATTCTAATGCAATCTTAAATCAAAATTGTAACCTAAAGAAAAGCAAATTCTTAGTCAAAGTCAAAACTGTCATGGTCTGAGTTAATAATATTGTCTTAAATACATTTCCATATTCATTTCTTAAAATAAATAAATAAAGCTTATGTAGAGAGGAGGGCATTTTTAGTTTGTTAAATGCTATTAAGAACGTGGAACAGCCGAAACCGGTTTGGCTCAATAGATAGAGCGTCAGCCTGCGAACTGAAGGGTCCCGGGTTCGATTCCGGTCAAGGGCATGTACCTTGGTGGCGGGCACATCCCCAGTGGGGAGTGTGCAGGAGGCAGCTGATCGATGTTTCTCTCTCATCGATGTTTCTAACTCTCTATTCCTCTCTCTTCCTTTCTGTAAAAAATCAATAAAATATATATTTAAAAAAAAAGAACATGGAACAAAACCTGTGGTCTATGAACACATATTTATATCACAAAGTTTAAAAAAAAATAAAAATAAAACACGTGAAAACAAATTTTAAAACTACACAAAAAATAACTAAAAACAAACTAAATGGCCCTAATATGTCTTGCAGGTTTACCTTTTTCATTTGTTATTTTCACTCTAAAAAATACAATGTTGGAAAAACATTCTACAGCATGAGGATAATGTTAAGGTTACAAAAAAAGAAAGTGAGAGGAACCAGTTCTTTCTCTATCTTCAAAATATAAATAATCTCTAAGTGCCTTTTTGTACAATACATTTTTGTGGTTCTATGTAGTTGTTGCAGTGTAGGGGAGAAGCCTTTTTAGAAGCCAGCATTAAAGACCACAAAACTAGAGCGAATGTCCTCCTGCTCCCAGAAGGGCACATCTTATGCTACATAACAGTTCACGGTAGTCACTGCGGGAAGTCTAAGATTTCCAAGATATATATTATCGCTCTGCCTGTCAATCCCATGTTGTCCTCAGTGTCTCCCAATCTGACCCAGGACACTATCTATAGAATCCTATACCCTCAAGAACTCCTGCTGTATGATGAGATAAGATATACCTAATACCAAAACTTTCCATTTATCTTCTAGAGTTAGCACAGACCTGGCTTTATCCTACTCCCAACCTCCAAATACTGCTTATATGTAAACATTCCCTCTCTTCCTAAAAAGTCTCTTGTCCTCAGAAACTCTGGCCACCCTTCCCATGAACAATCCATCAACAAGTCTTTCTGATTATCCCTCCCACGTCTACCACAAATCCACCCACATTTTTTATAAAAAACGCAACTGAGTGTCTGTAAACCACAATAAAGAAATGCACAATAAAATGAAATTTGCTTGCAATTAGAAACCACAAAGGAAACAGAGAGGGTTTAGAAAGTTATTTAAAGAAAAATGGATGAAAATATTCAAAACTTGAAAACTAAAACCCACAGATTCAAGAAATTCAATGAACCCAAGCACAAAAACCATAGAAAAAACCACCTTCTCAGTATCATATCTGAGTCAAATAGTCTTGGGACATTTAAATCATATATTTTTAATAAACTAGTAATATATATGAAACTTCACCAATTATAGCTCATTTTGATGAGTTCCTGGATATCTTATTTTTTGTAATAGAATTTAAAATTCTTCCCCTGTAAATGCAGCAGGAATGGACTAAGTCTCCTTCTCTGCTTACTTCATGTCACAATATCCAAAACTATAGATCTATTCTCATCTGGTGTAGCTTTTTAAAGAACCAATTGACTGGAGATATTTAGTGAGTGAGCAAGACATGGAGTCATCTTTCAATGTTTGGAGAATTTCACCTTCCATAATTAAAGCCTTTCTAACAGTAAAGGGGTTGAAATGTTTAACTTTTATTTCAAGTCCTATAAAGTCTCATATTATTAAACACTAACAAAATAACCAAAAAGAATCCTGACTAAAAATACTATGCAGATGAAAAATTATCAAATAAATCTTTTAAAAATAGAACAGAATTAATATAATCAAAGTCAATAGTTGGGTTCTAAAGATTGGCAACAAATATCTGAACTGCATTAGTTCAGTCATTGCCCAATCTCAGAAGTCACAACAACTAATGCAACTGAAACAGTAATAAAAGAAAAAGAAATTTAAAAAAATACTCCCAGCAAACAAAAAGGTTATATATAGTATAACCTTTATACTATAAAGGTTTAAAAGTATCAGTTTTACTAGGATAAATATACAATCAAAACACTCTATTCGGTTCTTTAAAAGAAAACTATATATAGGGGGAAAATGTATCTTTCAGGAAAGAATACCATGCTTTTCACCTTTGAAGTAACAGATGTGTAGTGATGTAAATCAGTATTCCATAAACAGGTAGTAATTTAAGGGTACTGAGTTCATTATACCAAAAAAGAATTTCTTCTATGACACTATGTCAAAGAATGAACTACTACTAGAGCTATAATTACAATAAAGCACTGAAAATAATCAACAAGATAACGCAAGCTTGAAAATTTCCTAAATAACAACTGTCATAAATAGATTTCTCCACAGACTATATCTTCCAACTACTCATTTTCTTTCTTCTTGCTTACATACTTTTAAAATACAACATAAAATTGCCATGAAGAATGTATGTTTCTGTACCACACAATAACTAAAAATAAATGGAACTCTGAAACAAAAGTTTTAATGCAGAGTTTGCCTACTACATAAGAAGAAGGTTTTAGAATCTCTGAGGTCTAACCAGATAGAGAAAATCAAAAGACAAGTCGTCATTACGTTTCCCTAAAACTGAGGTTTTCAAAGACTGAATTATAAGTGCAAAGGAAACCTGAGGTATTTTCCATTTAGAAGAGCCTGTGTGTCTGCATTTTCTAGTTTCCTTAGGCCAGTGGTCCACAACTCTGTCTGCAATAAGAATCAACTGGGAGCTTTTAAAAAAATACCATTTCTTAAACCCACAACCAGAGATTCTGATTTAATACTTTTCGGAAGGGGTCTAGATATCAGTATTTGTTTCCCTAGAAATTCGAATGTACAAGTTTTGCTGTAATGAAACAATGTATCCCTAATAATCACTGGGCTAGTGCAAAATCACGTAGTCAAAAATCACAGAGCGTATGGGAAAATGGTGTTACAACACAAAAAATTCATCAGGGACATACTGGAAAAAAGACGGGAACCTAATAAAAACTTTGCATAGACTTAAGAATATATAGGTACTATAATAAACTGGCACTTTACCTTAAAAAGACCCAGTGTTCGCTTGTCAAAGTAGGTGTCAGCATGATGCTTCAACTAACTTGCAAATCACTCAAATTTATACACATACACACACACACACACACACACACACACACACACACACTTACACAATTACATTGAGGAAGGGAAACACAGAGCAAATTTAGCAAAATGTTAATAAGTAATGAATAGTCGAGGGCACAGGAGAATTTTTTCTATTCTTGAAACTCAGCTATACATTTTAATTTTGTTAAATAAAGACATCAAAATCACTAGTCACAAGTCTTCTGATTCCAGTCAAGACAGAGTAACAGGAATAGCTTTATCTTCCTGCCTAAAACAACTAAAAACTGAACAAAGTACATTTAATAGACAGTACTCAAGCCACTGGATACAGGGCAATGAAGAACAGTGAACCCAGGTTACCAAATCAAGAAAATCTTCAGGCCACAGCCAAGCTAGAAAGAGCCAACCAGAACACATGAATTGCTGTGAGTTCAAGAGACTAAGTTCAGAGACACCAGGGGAATCAGTATACTAGAGAAGAGACAAGAATAGAGTACTAGAGAGAAGAAAGTGACACAAAGAAAAATCTCAGAACTGCAAAAGACACCCTCTTGATTATTTAGCTAAGGGTTGAGGAAACCATGCCAAGGAAATAACTCTCCCATAGGATTACAGAAAACACTGTCCAGAGCTCACAGAGCCACAGAACCCTGCCAGGTCCCGACAGCCAGAGTGTAAAACGTAATAATTTGGAGAGCATCCTATGAGGGCTGAGAATGATCTTGCCCCACTAGAGGAGATAAAATTCACCCTAGATTACATGTAACTCTGGTGCCACCTAACAAATGCAAAGGCAAGAACCAAATAGATCAAGCTGTGTCCAAGTAACTTAACCATATCCCAAAATAAAACTCAAGGATATTTAAAAAAATACAAAACAACCTAGTACCTTAAAAAGGTAAAATTCACACTACCTGGCATCAAATCAAAGATTACCATGCAGAAAAATACAACTCAAAATGAGAGGGAAAAAAATCAGTCAATCAAAACTAACCCGGAAATAATACAGATGTTAGAAGGCAGGGAGAATAAAGCAGTTACTATAACTGTATTCCACATGTTCAAGAAACTAAAGAATAAACATATTAAGTTGAGATGTGGAGGATATAAAAAGATTCTAACTGAACTATAACAGATAAATCTTTTTTCTTTTTTTCTTTTTTTAAAGATTTACTCATTTCAACATGAAAATGGATCAACTACTCAGTTTCTGTTTCCTTCTCTCCAATTCCCTAAACTACAGTACAGATGTCGGGTAAAAGAGATGGGTTTTGGTAGGTGTGAGAAAATAAAGAAATGGCACACATAGGCATATTTAAATTTAAATACTGGCAAGACACAAAGTGAGACTGTCAGAGAAAGGAGAAGGAGGGAGGAAGTAGCATTGCTGGAAGAGGAGTGGTCAGGAAAATGGTCAGAGTTTATCTCATTGAAAGGATTATTAAAGGGCACCAGAAATGAACAATATCTGTCATGAAAAATACATAGATATAATTTACAACAGATCTGACATTGCATAAAAACAAGATTAGAGAAATGGAGGACATAATAATAGAAACTAACTATAATAAAACACATGAAGAAAACTATGCAAAGGCACATAACAAGTTGATTAAAACCAGTGATAAAGAGCCCTAACCAGTTTGGTTCAGTGGATAGAGCATTAGCCTGCATAGTGTCCAGGTTTCAATTCCCAACAAGAACACATACCTTGGTTGCAAACTTAATCCCAATCCCCAACCCTGGTTGGGTATGTGAGGGAGGCAACCAATCGATGTTTCTCTCTCACTTCTCTTCCCTTCCCTTCCACTCTATAAAAATTAATGGAAAAAATATCCTCAAGTGAGGATAAATAAATAAATAAAATCAGCAATAAAGAAAAAATTTTAAGCACGGCCAAAGGAGGGAGGGAAGGGAATAACATATATTTCATCAGCAACAATGCAAGGAAATATTATAGTGGTATTTTTGAAGTACTGAAAGAAAAAATAAACAGCAAAAATATTCTTCAAAAATAAAGATAATATAAACATTTTCATACTTATAAAACCTAAAAAAAATGAATTATCAGCAAAATTCCATTATAAAAATGCTAAAGGCAGTGCTTCAAGAAGAAAGAAAATGATACCAGATACAAATCTAGATATACAACAAGAGATAAGGGTACAGTACATTGTAACTCAATGGGTAAACATAAAGACTTGTGTTTTTATTATCTAAAGTACTCAAAAGATAATCAACTACTTACCGCAATATTAATAATAACAAGAATGTATCATGGGATTTATCCATATGTAGTATGACCTATTTGCCTGAAGCACAATTACGATGCTATACATAATAAATGATGAAATTATTCCTCTTACCTTAGAAACATTGCTGACATAATTCACTTGAATAGTGCTTTCTTTATCAACTTGATTACAAAGGTTCTGTAAAGTAGATGCATATTCTTTATCACTTTTTATCCTCAGGGCCATAAATTTCTTCACTGTTTCCAGTAACCGTAATTCCCAGTCTTGCAATTTTAACACAGCTTCATGTGAATTCTTCAGGTCACTCCCAAACCCCATTTTTGTAAGGCACTGTCTTATCCTCCACACTGCACAAGCGAGCTTTCTAATCAGTGCATATCTGTGTATGTAAACAGAAGAAAAAAATGTTAAATCCAAAGAAAGTTTGCCTTCAAAACAAAGTTATGGCTCATTTTAGGGTTGAAAAAAAAAAAAATCACTACAACTGAATGCTTTCACACCAAAGATGTCCACCCTCACCACTTTTTTTTTTATTCAACACTGCACTGAAGGTTCTAGTAAGTACCATAAAGTAAATAAAATAATTTCTATTAAAATTGTACAGTAAAACTATATTTGCAGATGACATGACATTGTAGATAAAAAAAAAATCTTAAGCAATACAATAAAAAGTTTTAGAACTTTTATAAAAATAAATAAATAAAATTACAGGTTAGGAAATCAATATAAACAAAGATCAACTATATATCTATACACTAGCAATGATCAATCCAAAAACAAACTTTAAAACAATTTATAAGAACATCAAAAAGGATAAAATATTGCCGAGATCGGTTTGGCTCAGTGGATAGTGCGTCAGCCTGCAGACTGAAAGGTCGCAGGTTCGATTCCGGTCAAGGGCATGTACCTTGGTTGCGGGCACATCCCCAGTAGGGATGGTGCAGGAGGCAGCTTATCTATGATTCTCTCTCATGGATGTTTCTAACTCTCTATCCCTCTCTCTTCCTCTCTGTAAAAAAAATCAATAAAATAAATTTTTTTAAAAAAAGAATAAAATATTTAGGAATAAATTTTACAAAATAAATGCAAAACTTGTATTCTTAAAATTAAAAAACATTGCTACAATCAGAAAGACCTAAATAAGACTCATATCCCCAAATCCTAAAGACTTAACACTGTTAAGAAGTCAAGACTCACCAATTTGATTTAACTCAATACATATTAACATCTAAGCTAGTTTCTTTTTTTGCAAAAATTGACAAGCTAAAATTTACATAGAAATTCAAATAACCAAAAATTAACAAAAAATATTTCAAAAGAACAAAGTTAGAGTATTCACACTTCCTGATTTCAAGACCTACTGAAAAGTTACAGCAATGAAGATAATGTGGTACTGACATATGGTAGACATAGATATCAGTGAAGTAGAACAGAGGTTCCAGTTATACATCCTCACATTTATGGTTAAATTTTCTATAAGGGTGCTAAGTCTACTCAATAGGTAAAAAGGTCTTCAACTAATGATGCTGATGGGACAAATCGATTTCCACATATAAGAGAATGAAGCACAATACCTTCCTTAGAATACAATAAAAAATAAACTTTAAAGGGATGTAGCTCTAAATATCAGAGCTACATCTCTTTACAAAACTCTCCGAAGATAACAAAGTAATCTTCATGGCTTTGGCTTAGGCAATGGTTTCTTAGATACAATAACAAAAGCACAAGCAACAAAACAAAAATACATAAATTAGACTTCATCAAAATAAAAAAAAATCTGTATTTTAAAAGCCACCACCATCAAGAAAAGGAAAAGACAACCCACAAAATGGTAGAAAATATTTGCTAATTCTATCTGTCATGAAACTTCTATCTGGAATGTATAAAGAATTCTTACAACTCAATAATAAAATGACAAACCAATTAAAGTGAACAAAAGATCTGAAAAAAGATTTCTCCAAAAAGATTCACAAATGTCCAACACATACATGTAAATATGTTCAATATCATTAGTCATTAGGAAAATACAAATCAAAATCACAGTGAGATTCCACTTCACACCACCAGTATGTCTATAATCAAAATGACAGATAATATCAAGTATTGGAAACTGTGAAGAAATTAAAGCCTTCCTACACTGCTGATGGAAATGTAAACATTTCTCAAAAGTTAAACATAGAGTTATTATATTCCTCTGTTCAGTATAAACCCAGGAGAAATGAAAACATATGCCCATAGAAACACATGTGCAGAATGTTCAAGTAGAATTATTCATAACAGCCATAAAGTGGAATAATCTCAATGTCCATCAATTGATGAATACATAAATAAAACACAATATCCATACAAATAAAATACTATTTGACAATAAAAAAAAATGAAGTATAGATACAAGCTACAACATAGTAGATAAACCTTATAATTATGCTACGTGAAAGAAGTCAGAATCAAAAGAATGACATACTCTATAATGTGAAATGCCCAAAGTTTAGTGACAAAAAACAGAGTAGTGGTTGCCGAAAGTTGACAAACATGGGAAGATATGAGGAGTAACTGCTGACTGATTCTGCATTTCATTTTGAGGGATAAAAATTTTCTAAAATTGAATATGGTTGCACAACTCTTTGACCTAACTAAAAAATCATTGAATTGTACAGTTTACATGGGCAAATTTTTCAGCATATGACCTATATGTTGTCAATAAGTTGTAGTCCTAGCCAGTTTTGCTCAGTGGATAGAGCATAAGACTGTGGACTGAAGGTTCCCAAGTTTGATTCCAGTCAATGGCACATACCCGAGTGTGGGCTCGATCCCCAGTTGGGGCCGTGCAGGAGGCAGCCAGTCAATGATCCTCTCTCATTGATGTTTCTATCTCTCCCTCTCCCTTCCTCTCTCTGAAATCAATAAAAATATATTTTTTAAAAGTTATAAATGCTTCTAAAAAAATAAATAAGTTGTTGTAAAAAGTCATTACAGCTTACTATGATCATCTAAAGTTCAATTATCAGAAACTTTCCCAAAATATTCTGCTTGTTTGCTATAAATTCTGAAAACTATGACACAATATATTTTGCTCTCAGCCTCCTAGAATTTCAGGCAATGAATCTTTCATGGCCAGTTAGAAAAAATGAAGAAACACACCTTTTATATTTAGTTTGGCTCCTCCATACCAGAAGTCAATTTCTTGTTAATTCAGCTGAGATCCTTTAAGCCATACAGAAAAAAAGGAGAAGAGGTTTATCTCTCTAACCTCAGTGATATCATCTAAAAAGATGGTAAAAATGTGGGTTGTCCAAATAGAGAACAAATTACAATTTCCCCCCCACTGAAAACTGTCCAGTTTTATGATCTAGCAAAAAAGTAGGAGAGGGGGAAAGTAGTGGAAAACTGTACTTCATCAAAGTTTCCGAAGTAGCAATCAGGATACTAAATGGACCTTAACATAAATAAGTCAATGTAAAGTAACTGACTTATTCACTTAATATAGAATAGGATAATTCTAGGTTTTTGTTCCACTTTGTATATAGTAGTTTTGAATATTTTATTTTTATATATTATATCTTTATGTGGCACAAAAATTTACAAGGAACATTTTTCTGTTATTCTACAGCTCAACTAAGTCTCACTGAATATACATTCTATCTCATCCAATGTTTTCAATGAAAAAGTATGGAACATTATTTGAGACTAAAGAAAGGTGGAACAGCTTACTTTTTAAAAAAAAATCATATCTAAGATTATAGTTAATTTTATTCAGCATTTGGGATAAATCAGGCAGAAACAGAGTATTATACAAAAGTGTACTAGTGTTCATCAACAAAGATGTCTATTTTTAAATAGCATCATTAAAAAGGTGAACGTATGGCTCAGACATTGAGCATTGACCTATAAATCAAAAGGTCACCAGTTGGATTCCCAGTCAGGGCATGTGCCAATCAATGTTTCTATCTCTCTAACCTTCATCCTTTCTCTCTCTAAAATCAATAAAAAACATTATTTTTTAAAAAGTGAAAGTAGTAAAAATTCTAATAAACTACTATTTCAATTTATTTCAAGCTATCTTATTTAATGTTATTCAGTTTGGATTTTAGGATCAAATGAGTTATGTTGTGTTTTCAATTCACCATAAGTAATTATTTAAAATTTTAAAGAGCCATTAAAATTTGCTATATTCTCAAAATTCATTTTGTATAAAATATATCTACAAATACATTCTTCTAAAACAAAAATGGAAGTTATTAAATAGCAAAATATAAAACACATTAGTTTCATTGGTTGAATAATAGAATTCCCGTGGTATTTCTTGTAAGTATAATGGTATATGCAAGTATTTATTATAAGTACCTCTTGTCCTTCAACTTTTGACTCAACAACTGGCAACTTTTATATTCTTTAATTACACAGATGGAAATATTATTTTGCAATATTTAAATATAATAATTAAATATAATCTTTAACAATCTATAACATAAATACAGTTTACTATGTATTGAATATTCTTTTTAAAGTAAGGCTGATTTATCTTAATTCAGATGTCTTATAAGAAAAATTATACTTAATTATTTCCTTTATTTTAATATTGACAACAAAACATACAATGAAAGATATGCTAAATTTAGAAAAATTAGAAAATACATGAATAAAAAATGTGTAATAGAAACAGAAAGTCTCTCATTCTTCTCCATCAGATATTCTCATAAGCAAGCAAGAAATTCAATAGAGTTTTTTTTTTTTCAGCTTGAATTTATAAACCTTGACTAATGAAACCTATCAAAATGACTTTGTGGTTTGAATTACTTTATCAAAATATGTTTATTCATTGATAAAAAGTACAAAATCATTAACCAGTTAAAATACAAAGATAATTATCTAATGGTATTTCTTATCTTTTATAAGCCTTAATCCTGACAGAAATCACAGTGATTCTATTTGAACAAAATATCAAGCTGCCTGCAGCAAGACAGAAACAAAGTCAAAAGCCTCCCCAGAGCATGCAAGTAATAACCACAGTGACAAACCAGAAAACTTGACCACATATAAAAATAAAATGAGGCGCTGTTTCAGAAGCAGTTACACAAGCAGGTGTGAACAGTCACCACGTCTAATTCTGAAGAGAGCATCATTAATTAAGTTAATATATGGTGACCCTGGCCACCTTAATGACACAGTCTTTAAAACTCCTCCTAGGTTGTTTTTACTTGAAAACGTTGCTCCTAGCTTACCTTAAAAAGAAATTAAATTCAACGCAAACAGCACTGGCCTGGGCAGCCTATTGGGACAGCATTAATGAATGACAATGTCCCACTCCAAGAGAATGCTGAATACTAACTGCAAGTCTATATGCAAATGAACAACATCTGTGCTTTTAAATAAACTTTTTTTTGTTTGTTTTAAAAGTGTATTTGAAAGTACTAATATTTAAAATTATTTAAGGAGAATAGAATTATTACTTTCTTTCTTTGCTTTAAGATATTAATATAAATCAACAGCTATTTATTGAGTAACTATGGGAGAGATAATGTTAGGTGTTTATAGCTAAACTAGAGGCCCTATGCACGAATCTGGTGCAAGAGTAGGCCTTCCTTCCTTCATTCCTTCCTTCCCGACTTCCCTCTCACACCCGGGACCCAGGCTGGCTTCCCTCAAGCTGCCATTAGGCACCGGAGACCCATGCTTCCCCTCTGGCCTGGCTTCGCCTGGAAGGATGTCCAGAATGACATCCAGTAGGATAAAATTTATCCAGTAGATAAAAATCTTCATTACTGCCTTTAAGCAATTTACAGTGTATGAAGACTAACTAGACAAGTTCACAGGTAATGATAAATTCACTCCAAATTCATTCAGCAACATGTACTGAGCATCTATTTGGCAAGTATATTTCTGAGTGGCAACAATACCAAGACGAATAAGATTACAGATCCTAATCTCAAGAAGCTAACAACTTCATAGGGGTGACAAATCTGAAAACCTATGTTTTCAGGTTTACAAATACAAATTGGTTACAGGTTCAGAGGGAAAACAGGAAGTATGCATAACATTTCTAATGTCCATCAAGGAGGGGCTCAGAGACATAAAAGCATAAGGTATAAAGTGTTACAGAGACACAAAGAGAAGAAAGAGCTACTAAGAAAAGAAAGATACATAGAGGACTCAATGCATGTTGATTAACTCCTGGATGGAAGTTCAGTTTTCTTATCTTCAAAACGGGGATAGTAATACCTACTTTGCAAGGTTGTCATAAAGGTCAAATGAAATAACGTATTTAATGTGTCTGACACTGGGGAGACTTATTAAAAAGTAGTCATTACTAATGAAGCCTTAGAGAAAGGACCCACATGATAGAGACTGTGGAAGAGCAAGTGGTAGAGTAGCGTTTCTTCCTAAGTGGAAGTTTAAGCATGAGCAAGGATTCACAGTTAAAAAAATGAGGAATGTGTTTGTGAAACATTACTAATTTGAAGGAAAACAGGAATAAAAGGTTTAAAAGATAAAATATGACCACAATGCATATAACCTACTTCTAAATTTGAGAAACTTTCTTTATGATCAACTAATATAACAGAGTTCAATTTTCAAAT